ATTCAGTTTTGATCTTGTTCTTAAATGTACACATTGACTTGGCATTTTTCACATCACTCTCTAGACCATTCCACAATCCAACTCCTTGGATTGAGGTAGACCTTCCCTTCAGACTAGTAGTTATATATTTAATTTGATAATTTTAATAATCTGTATTCTTTTTAATTTACCAGAAACTTCAAAATAAATTCTCACCCTGTACTGGTGAGGCACGCGACGTCAATTTGAACCCCGCCCACTGGAACCAGTACTGAAAGCATAATGTAAACACAACGTGTACCGTACCGAGCCGAGTAGAACCGTGCTGTACCAGTACCAAAGGTACTGATGGAAAAGGGTACATGGTGTTAACAAACTGGGCTGGAAGCGTTGTGGTTAATGAAAGGTGCTTCCAGTTTGCATTTTAGGAACCAAAGGATATTTTTAGGGTTAAACCCTTAAAATAGACTGAAGATAAGAATATTTTAGTCACTAAGATTTTCCATTTACTGTCTTTCATTTGTCTTCCAGTTTTATGAAAGTGTTACTCTGCAATCACTGAAAAGTTGAAAAAAAAATAAATAAATCCTGCCACGTTTTGGAGCTTTCTTGGCGTTCTGCACTCACAACTTTTCACAGATGCCATCAGACTTCATGGCTGCGAGCATGAGGAAGACCTTTCCTACGGGTACTTTTCACACTTTGCTGCTGACAGGAACAGGTGAAACATTTGGATAAAGGATCATGTTTAATACATCTGTGACTCGGCGCCGCGTTAACCAAATTCACTCATTGCATCGCTGAGGATAAAGATCTGTTCGTCTATCCAAATAACTGAAAAGAGTGTAAAGAACGAAAGGAACTTTATGTGGGTGTTTTGCCGTTCTGTAATTAGAGAACGTCATTTATTTACGTGAAATCATCATTTCTTTTATTTTCCTCCAAACTTGGAAGTAGAAGCAGAGGCCGTGACAGCAGTGTGTGGCAGGCTGAAGACTTGAGATGTCACGTTCTGTCTGTGTGTGTGAGGTGAAGCGTTGCACGAGGCTCGTCTCTCCTCTCAGGAAATGAATTAGTCATTGGAGCCACGTTGGCCCTGTGTGGATGGCAATATTAATTTAACATGACACTGCATTGATGGTCAATTTCAGTTTCAGGGGCGGATGTTTAAGTGGAGTGGTGGAGTATTAATGTGATAAGATGTTTGGTCGGGATTGAGGGTGGGGGGTTGGGGGGGAGTTACATCTCTCTCCTCTCTGCCATGTTTCATACTCAGCCAGCCATCTGGACGAATCATCTCCCCACACGCCTCTCCCTCTCCCTCTTCTCAACTTTGGGCATGTGTGAGTGAGAAGGAGAGGGGACGATTGTCTCTCTTTTTTTAATGTTTTTATTTTAAAGTGTGTGTTTTGAGTATAATGTGTAATGCACGGCTGTGAGGTGGGGTTCTGCCACTTCACGTAGGTGTGATGGTGGGTGTGGTGTGACCCTGTGCGTCTGTCTTTTTGTTTTTATTAGGTGTCCACGAAACTGTCGTGTGATTTCTCAACATTTAGGTGTGAAGAGATCGGTTACATTTAGGGATATAATCTCCTTTAAAAAAAATGGTTTGTGTAAATGTATGGTGTGCTGTTTAAATGACTGGTTGGCTTTTTGCGGCTGCCCATGTGTGGACCCCCCCACCCCTCACACCCCCCTTCACGCCCTGTCCCTTGTGTTTATGGACCTTGTTAGCACATGCTTGCCTTTCAATCTTTGTTACTGGCGTAAAATTCGATGTGTCGTACTTCCAGCTCACAGCAAGTGAACCGTGTATGAACGAATTAGTAATCTACACAAAGTGCTTAATCAAATCAGCAGCTGCCCCTGGAATAAATATTATGGAGCGTCTTGGGATGTTCCCTGGGAGAGGATGAGGGTTTTGCTCAAAGATGTGGAAGTGGATATCGTAGCAGGCTGCCTCTTAAACTGACGCGTCGCACTGTGCCATGCTGGACTGAATTTGACTCAGTGAGCTGACATTCATTCATGTTGTTTATTTACTCTTGATGAAGGATGTTTCCAGACATTTTGAATGGGGTTTATGTGAAACGGCTATGAACAGAAATTATTCTACCTGTTGTAGATGATTGGAAAAAAACTGGACTGATGAGCACACAGCTCGTCTACTAAACTTCATAGCAATTCAAGCAATTTGTGTTTATAAAAGTTTACATTGTTGTCATTTTTACATTGCAGGCTGGTTAAATGGAGTCTATTGCTGTTCTGCAATAGCAGCAGCAGCTAGCTGTAGCACTTCTAATGCAGCCTGGGACACTTCTGGAAGGACTTTCTTATTATTTATGTCACAAAGCACATGATGTGAAATTTCATGAACCACTAACAAACTTTGAACATTAGAGTTGTTTTAGGGCGGCACGGTGGCTCAGTTGGTAGAGCTGCTGCCTCTCAGTGAGAAGTTTCCAGATCGATCTCCGGCTGGTGGCCTTTCTGGGTGGAGTAAATGGTAAATGGACTGTACTTATATAGCGCCTTTCTATCTTATCAAGATACTCAAAGTGCTTTACAACACAGTCTGTGTCCTCATTAACCCATTCATACAGCACTCTACTAGATCTCTACAAAGATAATCGAACAAATCATTCTAAAGAGACTAATCAGAGCTTTATCACATTCAGACACCGATGGGACACACATCAGAGGCTATGAGGGGTTCAGTGTCTTGCCCAGGGACACTTGGGCATGTGACTGCTGGTGGATTTGAATCCCCAACTCTTGCATTGGAGGACGACTGCTCTAACACTCAGCCACAGCCGCCTTCATGGAGAGTGTGCATGTTCCCTTTGTATATGCGTGGGTTTTTCCCATAGATCAAAACATGAGAGTGTGTATGGTTGTTCGTCTTATGTTTCCCTGTGATGGACTGGGGACCTGTCCAGAGTGTCCCCCGCCTCTCACACAGTGGACATGGGCACCAGCGACCCCTGCGACCTTTAAAGGAAGAAGTGGGTAAAGATAATGGATGGGGTTGATTTAGGACCACATAGTCCATTATGAGCTTGTCAATATGTGAGTCCACTTTTAAAGCAGATACCATAATAAAGCAACTCCATTGATCAAAATTTTACATTTTTGATGCAAATGCTATTTTATAACCTATTCTGTCAGAAAAAATAAGATATTCCTGCCAGAAGTCCTCCCAGGCTGCACTGACAAAGCTACAGCTAGCTGCTGCTATTTGTGCTGGTAGTTACCACAAAATGTTACGTACGGAAAATCTTCTTTTTCTTTTGGCTGTTCCCTCCTCAGGGATCTACAACAGTATCTACAACGGGTAAGATATTAGTTGTTCATAACCTTTCTAGAGAACCTCACATTTAATGGTTTTAATATCCCTGTAAATATTAATTTTATAGCTGTCGAGTTGTTCAACAAATTCATGTATTTGTATAATATTTCCATCCATCCCTCCATCCATCCATCCATCCCTCCATCCATCCATCCATCCCTCCATCCATCCATCCATCCATCCGTCCTTCACCTTTGCCCGCTTCTTCCTTTTTGGGTCACTGGTGTCCATATCCAGCAGTCACTGTGCAAGAAGCGGGGACATCCTGGACAGGTCTCCAGTCCATCACAGGGACACATAGAGACAAATGAGACAAACATTCACTCTCTCACTCACCTAGAGCCAATTTAGAGTTACCAGTCAGCCTAACATGCATGTTTTTGGTCTGTGGGAGGAAACTGGAGTACCTGGAGAAAACCCACACATGCACGAAGAGAACATGCAAACTCCACCCAGAAAGGCCCCCCAGCCTGGGATTCAAGCTGTCGACCTTCTTGCTGAGAGGCAGCAGCTCTACCAACTGAGCCACCGTGCCACCCTATTTGAAAGTTGAGCCTCATGATAAACTTTTTTTTTTCCTGTTGACATGAAGAAGCTTATTTTAATAAAGAGTTTTTGATTATAGAACAGAGGTATTAAAGTAGAAACTCACAGAAACAAATGAAGCTTTTTATTTAAAAAATACAAAAACCAACAATGTGCATTTCTAAATTCTAGAAATTCTACTAAACTAGAACTAAATTCTAGTTCAGATATAAAACGTGACAAAATGATGAAAATGGGATAATTTCTCTTTAAGTGAAACATGAAACTACTGGTTATAAATAGCTTTTCATAGTTTAAATAATAAAGATAAATTAGAGTTTTATGTCTGACAAAAGTACATTGAATTCAACATCAGTTTTAAGGCTTGGGTCACATGGGTCAGTTTGATCCAAGGGCAGCTGGAGGGGGGAGGAGTTTAAAATGAACTATTTTTGACTTGGATTTAAAGATTGAACAGTAAATTTGAAACTCAAAATAAAATAGTTTTCATCTTTGGGGTCCCGCTATATATTTTTTCTCCTCTGGTTATGTTTCTTATTATTTAGCTTTGTTTTAGTTTTCACTAGAGTGGCTTCAGACATCTAAATTTATCCCTTGAAGCAGAGAAAAAGTGACTTTTTGTTAAATGTCCTCTGGTGACTGTTCATGCATCACACAGATAGTAAAGACATCCACCCTCGCTGCTCTGCTGTTAAATGATTGATCGCAAAGAGAAGCTTTGCCACTTTCTCAAACGCTACCCCGCCCTCTGGACTTATTAATGACAATAATTAGGAAGAGACCTCCCTGTGAAGCCCACCAGAGTGATTAGTGCTTTAATGATGAAATAGGAGGTAGTGAGCACACGCAGAATTGATTTACGTATTCGCCCTGACCTTTGGAATCCAATTTACGCATCCACGAGCTGAAAAAAGAGTTTGAACGAGATGCAGAAGAGTGACAAGGATAGATGGAGAGTGGAAGAAGATCTGCGTGGCACTTGGTGTGACTGTAGATTTCATTTATGAGTACTGGAGTAGAGACTTCTGTTTTCATCCTTTGGAAGGTTTTTGGTGGTTGTATTGCATAGATAGAGATGATTTTCTCAAGCTCCTCACCCTTTTGCTTTCTGCATTTTGTTTTACAGGATCTAAGCCCTTCATGTGTAAGATTTGCAACTTTGCTACTGCTCAGCTGGGAGATGCCAGGAACCACGTGAAGAGACATCTTGGCATGCGAGAGTACAAATGCGACATCTGCGGGTGAGTTACGAGAACCAGAGTCTTCAGATGTGTTTGAAAACTCTTCAAAATTAAGGCCTCGCTTTGTAGAGTCAGGATTTTACTCCACAAGGCCAGAGGCAAAAGGTTCAAGTCTTTGGAGAAGCTCAAGCTAATATCTCGTACTTTATATCCACGAGTCACCCAAAAACATTTTCAGAAAAGTAAAGTGAGTTGTAGACACAATTTTACATGATGATTGGTACGATTTTTAGAAGACAGACCATAGAAGCAAAAAAGAAATAAACCCTCCACATTATCTATTGTTCTTTTTTCTCCTAGTTAGAGTCAAAAAGTTGATTTCTATTTCTCAAGACGTTAAGAACTCTGTTCTCATCGACAAAGTTGCGTGGTGAAAGTTACGTCAGTTTCTTATTACAGGCTATTTGAGAACCCCTTGTGTGCACAAGCTCCTGGTAGAATTGTTTTTTTTCTTCAAGTATTAACCAAGGGCAGCACGGTGGCACAGTTGATAGAGTTGATGCCTCTGAGCGAGCAGGTCGCCCCGATTCAAATCCCGGCTGGAGGACCTTTCTGGGTGGAGTTTGCATGTTCTCTCCGTGCATGCGTGGGCTTTCTCCAGGTACTCCAGTTTCCTCCCACAGACCTAAAACATGCATGTTAGACTGACTGGTGACTCTAAATTGTCTCTAGGTGTGAGTGAGAGAGTGAATGGTTGTCTCATTTGTCTCTGTGTTCCTGTGATGGACTGGAGACCTGTCCAGGGTGTCCTCCACCTCTCACACATTGATGGCTAGACATGGTCACCAGTGACCCCCACAACCTGAAAAGGTAGGAGCAGGTACAAATGATGGATGGATGTACATATTAACCAAGTATTGTGTGACTGGTGAGAACTTTGTGTGTGTGTCTGTTTATGTGGAATAGCTCTTGAAACTGACGTTTAGCTTCAACTGCTCTGCTTCCAGAAGCCGGCTATTGTGTTGGCAGTTGAATAGCTTTGAGGAGGAGCTGGCCGGGGCTGTCGGGAAATACAGCCATCTTTACAACTGGTCTAACAAAATTTAAAGGTAGATAAATGGCAAAGCACTCGTTGAAGGAGATGGCATAAAAATTGTGCACCGCTTTACAGTGGCTGGATGTTCATGTAAAGCTCCCAGGTGACCTCCAACACAAATGTTTCACTACTTGGCAATGACAAGAACTACCAACAACTTGCTAAGCAATGGTGCCCATTAGAAAAACTTCATAGGGCGGATTGAGTGAGAGAAGCTAATCAATACTTAGACAGTCCAACTTTCTGTGACCAGTTTATACTTTGAATTATGTTTTTACTGTGAAGTCTGTCATGGTTGTTGAGGTTTCATGTCTTTTCCAAACTTCCAGTGATGTCCATTGAGGTTTTCTTTGCAATTTTTGGTCAAACTTATCTGCATTAGGCAATGTACACCTTTTTAAATATTTGTTTAAATGTGTGACGTGTTGCAGAGGAAGAGCTTACCAAGAGTTTTGTGATGCAGTTTCTCTTTTACTAAAATGTCTTTGCAAAAAGTCATGTCAAACCACACAAGTAAGGACTGATGTCTTCATGTCTTGAGGAGTATAAACCAGCCTTCAATCTTGTGCTAACATGAAATGTAAGTCAGTTTAGGACTGAATCTGATTTCTAACACCGTTTAGGTTTGAGTGTTCATGTGAGCAAGGTTCAACAATTTATTTTCTGTTTCTGGGTGAAGGGTTAGAGCTAACAGACCCCTCGGTTCTTTTAAGGGCACACTTCAAATGAAGTAAGAGTTGTGTTAGAAAAGAAACTCACAAATGTAGATATTTTCTCTGTGAAAAACATTTTACTTAAACATTGTCTTCTTTCCAAAAAAGTTCAATCTGGTCCTCGACATTCAAAAAACAAGAAAACAAAAAACAAAACAAAGCAAAAAAATGTAGATACGTTTCGTCTCTCATCCGAGAGACTTCCTCAGTCTGAGGTGCTGTATTCAGCTCAGTCTCTTAAATAGCACCTTCTCAGAGTGGATCAACCAGTTTTGCTGCTGACAACCAAAACCAGCTG